TTGGAGGGGCTTGGAAGGGACCATACAGGGTGGCGGGGATTGCACCCAGGCTGGTTCTGCCCAAGGCAAGTGCCCTCCACACTGTGCTCTCTCTCTGTCCTGATTATTCCTCCTTTGGAGCGAAGAACCAGTGAGTGGGAGCCGGCCTTCGCTCTCTGACAGCTTGTGGTCTCCACCAGGGGCCCTGGTTCCCAGGCAGGAGCAAGGAGGGGATGGAGAGGATGCTCCGGACTGGGACCAGGACCCTGGGCCCCGTGATGTGACACGTGCCCAGCCCTCTCGGGGTGGGATGAAGGGCTGAGGCCAGAGGTGAGGCCCAGCCGGACCCTGGAGGCAGGGGGAGCAGGGCTGGCCCTGGAGGTCAGGCCTGGAGGTCAGCACGGGGGAGGGGCCGCCCCCGCGCTGGCCCCCGCCCCTCCCCCGTGGCACCACCAGGCACAGGCGCGCAGCCGCGTCTCACCCGTGCCAGCCCTCACCTCCGGCAACGTCGCCGCATTCTCAGCCACGCCATCTGGCGTGCCCGCCGCTCCCGGAACACTGCGGCGGCGGGGGAGGGGGCAGTGGGGCAGGTGCCCACCCCGGAGCCAGGGGGAGGAGGCCGCAGGACCCCCACAGCCGCGTCCCTGTGGACGCGAGGTGGGGCGGGGGGCTGCTGCGTGGAGCCCCCGAGCCCACAGGGCAGTGCCAGCCCGAGCGGTCCCTGCGCACCCAGCCCTCAGAGGCTCTCAGAGTCCGACCCTTTCCTCAGGTCCAGGGGAGCTGGGGAGAGTCCCCCCACACACACACCCGCCTCCAGGTGGCTGCCACCATGGAGGGGACAGACACTTGAGTCCTGTCCCCCTTCTCACCACGGCTTGCGCTTTGTGGGAAAACCAAGTTCCCTTGTGCAAGCCACTGCCATGGCCCTGTCTGGTACGGTTGCCCTTGAGGTGGCTCTGAGGTGGCTCTGAGGTGGCTCTAAGGTGGCCTGAGGTGGCTCTGAGGTGGCTCTGTGGAGTCTCTGAGGTAGCCTGAGGTGACTCTGAGGTCGCTCTGAGGTGGCTCTGAGGTGGCCCTGTGGAGTCTCCGAGGTGGCCTGGGGTGACTCTGAGGTGACTCTGATTTGGCTCTGCAGAGACTCGAGGTGGCACGGCCTGGGTCTCTGAAGAGTCCTGTGAGGAGGACACTGGCTTTGGTGACTGTCAGGGAGTGGTCAGGGCAGTTTCACAAGACATGTGTCCTGTTCCCCCAGATTGCTCAGGAACAAGCCCCTTCACCTTCTGCCCCACCCCCGCGGGGCGCCTCAGCCCAGGCCCTGAGCTTAAACAAAATGGCCGCCACCCCTCTGAGGCAGCCATCTTAGGTGCCTGGACTGTGGCCTCCCCTCCCTGGGGATGGGGCTGTGTAACCATGGGAACCCTATTCCCCCCCCTCATCCTGCACTGTCACCTGGGGTTGGGCCCCGAAATGGGAATCTCCCAGATCCAGCGGGTACGCCCACCCTGCCCCTTCCTTCCCCAAAAGGCCCCAGAGGGGACCAGGTCCCTCGCCACCTCCTTCCGCCCATGCCAGGGGGAGGAACAGATGGCATCTCTGGGTGTCCTTCTTCTTCCGTCTCCTTCCTTCCATTTCTGGCTCTTTCTGTTTCCCCGTCACTGCAACTCAGTGTCTCTGAGCGTGCCGAGGGGAGCATGGATGTGCCTGTATGTTCGTGCCTGTGTGCATGTATGTGGATGCATGTGGACATTATCTCTTGCAAGCCTCTGTCTGAGGACGCCCCATCCCACACCTCCCTCTGTTCTAATTTTCCCTTTTGTTTTTAAACTGTATCTTGTTGAAATGTGTGGAGTGAGAAAATCTTGTGCCATTTTTCAGAGGGGAGGAAGTTCCCATAGCCCCAGGTCAGCGCTGCTCCCCAGCCCTCAGGCCTTTTTCTTTGACTAGAAAAAGCCTCCAGGGGGGCTTCTGAGCTGAGGTCATTCCTGAGACAGACGGGAGCCTCCCATCCTCACCCTTGCAGGCTCTGCTTTTCCTGAGTAAAGGTTCCTGCCTGGAGCAGAAACAGAGCAAATAGTGGCCTGTGAGACCCCAGTCTTTAGAGTTCAAAGAAGGTGGGGCGACTGTCTCCCACAAACAAGTGTCACTTAGTTCATTCACCCATTAAGTGAACAAAAATTCTATTCCTGGGGCCGGGGCAATAGTATAGCAGAAATGCCCTTGCCTTGCACGCTGTTCTGCAAGGTTCAGTCCCTGGCACCACATATGGTCTCCTAAGCACTGCCAGAAGTGATCCCCAAGTGCAGAGCCAGGAGCAAGTTCTGAGCACTGCTGGGTGTGACCCAAATGCAAACAAACAAAAAACCCTCTATTCCTCTCTAAACAAAGCTTTTATTTTTTATTTTTATTTATTTATTTATTTATTTGCTTTTTGGGTCACACCCGGCGATGCACAGGGGTTACTCCTGGCTCTGCGCTCAGGAATTACCCCTGGCGGTGCTCAGGGGACCATATGGAATGCTGGGAATCGAACCCGAGTCGGCTGCGTGCAAGGCAAATGCCGTACCCGCTGTGCTATTGCTCCAGCCCCTAAACAAAGCTTTTAAAATATAGGGGTGGGTGGAGTAAATGCCAGGAATTAATGTTGTAGGGGAGGGGATGTGACTCAGGGGCAGAGCTCTTACCTAGCGTGTGTGAGGCCTTGGGTTGCATCCCCAGCACCAGAACTGGACATTAATATTGTCAAAGCTATTATTTTTCACAAAGAACTTTCATATTTTCAAATGAACAAGAGGGACCCCCTGTATTGCTGACCCTGTCTAAAGCCCATGGCTTTCCCTCTAATCAATTTCCTTCTAGCTACACCTCTGATGATCTAATAGATTAGCCCTATTCTATGGTAAAATTAAGACCAAGAGCCCTCCAGGAACCTGCTGAAGGCACCCTGTGTTCTTTAAAGCTAGAGAGGGGCCTGGCCTGAGTCTGTGGATATGGTCAAGATACCATCTGGCTGGGGGTTCCAGGAGAAGGGCCTGATTGAAGACCCCACCCTCTGTGAGGGGACAGCAGAGCTTCGAAGGCTGGAGGGGGATCTGATTGTCACACCTAAGGCCTATGCTTTGATCTCTGCCATTCCACCTGCCCTGGGCCAGCTGCTGTGGTTGTGGGGACCTGCCAGCCCAGACCCAGACTCTCTTAAGGTCATCACCATGAAGTCATGGACAACTAGCAGGATGAAGGAGAGTTGGGAGACAGGTCAAACCCAGGCCCTCGGGCCCCTGATTGCCCGGGTCGGCTCTGCTGTTGCAGCATCAGAGGAAGGGGCCAGTTATCTCCACTCCTTCTGGGACCTGGCCTGGCACACACTTCCCCACGACCTTTTTGGCCACTGTTTTTGTTTGATTTGGGGGCCACACCTGCATGCACACATGCTCAGGGCTTGCTCCTGGCTCCACACTCAGGGATCACTCCTGACTGGGCTCAGGGGACCATAGGAGGTGCTGGGGATCAAACCCGGGTTGGTCACATGCAAGGCAAGTAAGTGCCCTACCCGCTGTATTAGGCTCCAGCCCCAGCCACTGTGTGTTTGCCCACCATCCCTTCCAGACCAGGCCTCTTCTGGAGGCACCTAGAGGCACCAGGACCGCTCAGATGGAAGGCGAAGGCCCCCCGGTGCTGACATGCGGCAGACACAGTGTGTGCTGAAGGTGTCTTTGAGATGCCGGTGCCACCCCTTCAACAGGAGCCGGGCAGGGACAAGAAATGTGATCCAGCACATCCAGGCCTGAATCAGGGTGCAGGCAAGGGGCTCTGCACCTGGCTTCGGGACTTGCTCACACATATGCAGAAAATGTATCCATTTCCCTCACACACAGCAAGGAACAGGTGTGTGTGTGTGTGTGTGTGTGTGTGTGTGTGTGTGTGTGTGTGTAAAGCTCCCTCTCTCAGCCCCACCATTGGCATCTGTCTGGCCCAGCGAGGGGCCGAAGGTGAGCTGTGAGATAAAACTGCAGTTTCCTTCTCATCAGGCCTCCTGGGGGGGGGGGGTTGTCCGCTGGAAGGAAGTTGCCAGAATGACTGTGAGTGTCTCCGCACCCCCACCCCACCACCGGGGCCTTCATTCTGCAGGGATGAGGAGAAGACTTGAGTTTCACCCCGGGATTTTGGGGCCACCCCCAGCCCAGCCCCATTGCTCCTCTTGGGGTGCCCCTCACAGGTCAGTCACTAGTCTTGGGGGAGGGGACAGTGTGTGTGGCAGGGCAGGGGAGAGCTTTCCGGTTTGGAATTCAAACTAAGTCTGACCCTTCCCCCCACCCAGATGGTGGGTGAAGAGACCCATCCCAGGGGGCTTCCTCTGCTCCCACCCCAACATATACATGACTCCAGACACCCCAGGAAATCTCTCCCCTCGGCTGACTCCACAGACATGCACGCCCATGCGGAGGCCCAGACTCTGCAAACCTTCCCTTTTCTCTGTCTTTCCCTGGTTTGAATTTCGTTCAGCCGCATATGTTGTGTGTGCGTGAGGGGGTGGGGGAAGGGCAGCTGGGATGAGGGATGGCACGATGCCAACTTCTACCTATGGGGCTTGGGCCAGGGCCGCCTTGCCCAGACTAGGAGGGGGCCTCAGCTGGCCCTTTGTGGCCAAGAGGGTCTTCCCCAGCAGTGGGGCAAGCGCTGAGGTCCCTTCCTCAGCCCTCAGGGGCTGGTCCCCGACCCACCTTTGGGGGCCTGCCAGGGAGGAAATGGACAGAGCAGGACCCTGGAGAGAGCGGAGAATGGAAAGCCATGGCAATCCCCCCAATTTCCAGTCCCAGCCCCCATTGTTCCCAGGTGGGGGGCCTCTATATCCAAGGGGGGCACCTCCTTCCACCTCGCTCTCTATCCCTGCTTTCCCGGTATAGGGCGGGGCGGGGAGGGCGACAGAAATATTTATTTATTTCCTTTATTTATTTAATTTTTTTTTTTTTTGGAGTAGAGAGTGACAGATGGCGGCGGGTCCCGGGGGAGCCGGCTCTCCCCCAATGCAGACGCATGCCAATCACCGTCTCTCATGTGATAGCTGCTGCCCGTGACGTGCCAAGCCCATATGGCCTGGCATAGAGGCTGGTACCCCGCCTGGTAGAGATGCCACACTCGCTCCGCGGTTCGCATGGCGCTCTGAAGACGCGGGCGCCCGCCGCCTTGAGGAGCCGCTGCCCCCGCTCCCTGAAGATGGGGGAACAATGAAATAAGCGAGAAGATTTCTCTTCTCCCCCTCTCTCTCTTGCCCCCTCCCCCCTCCCCTCCCCTCTCCCCTCGACTCCTCTCCGAGGTAAGTTGTCCGAAAGGCACCGAGATCTGACCCGCTGGTGGGGGGGAGGGGAGGGGGGAGGCGGCTGCTTCGGTCGACGGGAGGGTCCCGAACTGCCCCCTTCCTGGGACGATGCCCCCTCGTGGGGTGGCTACCGGAGACGCCCCGGGTTCCCTTTCCCTAGGGGCTGTAGCTCAGCTCAGGGGGCTGCAAAGGGTGGTGTCTCAGTGCCATGGCTTTGGGGGGCTCTGGCAGGATCATGGGGGGAGGACGACGTGTTGAGACGGAGACGGGAAACCCCCCCTATAGTTGTCCCAGAGGAACCTGCGACCTTTCCCAACCACCAGAACAGAGAGGAGCAAATCAATAAATTGGGATTTCCCCCCCCCATGCATCCCGAAATCGAAATACAACGAGATCTAAAGAGCCGCGTGGGAGGGAGGCAGTTTGCAGAGGGGAAGGGGGTCCCTGACCGCGGGGGACACGCTCTGGTCTCACTGCCCCCGCCCCCGCCTGCTCCCCACGCCCCGGCTCCCCGGTCCAGGCAGCCCCGAGCCGGCTCGGGAGCCCGAGCAGCGGCGGCTGGAGGACCAGATCCTCCGGCTCCGGGAACTGGGGCTGCGGGGGTGGGGGCCCAGGCTCGGGCGGCGCGCGGCCAAGTTGCAAATTGGATTAGGGCGCGTGGGGGTGAGCGCCGCGGGAGGGGTGGGGAGCGGGCCCGGGGGTCCCCGCGGCCGGAGCGGGCGGCGGTGCCCACCGCGGTCGCCGGGCCCCGCCGCACGCCGGGCGGAGCGGCTCCTGGCCGGGCGCGGAGGCGCGTTTCCTTCCCGAAGCCCCGGAGCGGCCCCGGCCTTGGCCCTGAGAAGACCCGGGCGAGGGGAGCGGCCCCCCGGTTCCGGCGAGGGGCGGAGCCGGCCCGGCGCTCGCCCTACGGCCTGGGCCGACACCCCGGGCGGGCAGCGGGGTAGGGCTGGGCCGGCTCTGGGCGGGGCGGACGCAGGAGGTGGGGATCCAGACCCCAGCCCCCCTTCCCCTGGGCAGGATCGCTCCCCCAACTGGAGGGTGGAGGCGGTGGGGCGGGGGGGGGCGACGGCGTGACCCCAGCGCGCCCCTCACTCGGTGCTCTCTGTCTCCCCTTCCCGCCCGCGGGGCGCCCGCAGGCACCATGCTGACCCGCCTGTTCAGCGAGCCCGGTCTCCTCTCGGACGTGCCCAAGTTCGCCAGCTGGGGCGACGGCGACGACGACGAGCCGAGGAGCGACAAGGGCGACGCGCCACCGCCGCCGCCGCCGGGGGCTCCGGGGCCCGCGCGCGCCGCCAAGCCAGTCCCTCTCCGCGTGGACGAGGTGTCGGAGAGCGCGCTGGCCGAGGTCAAGGAGGAAAGCGAGCTGGGTGGCGAGGAGGAGGAGGAGGAGGAAGAGGAGGAAGGGCTGGACGAGGCCGAGGGCGAGCGGCCCAAGAAGCGCGGACCCAAGAAGCGCAAGATGACCAAGGCGCGCCTGGAGCGCTCCAAGCTGCGGCGGCAGAAGGCGAACGCGCGGGAGCGTAACCGCATGCACGACCTGAACGCCGCGCTGGACAACCTGCGCAAGGTGGTGCCCTGCTACTCCAAGACGCAGAAGCTGTCCAAGATCGAGACGCTGCGCCTGGCCAAGAACTACATCTGGGCGCTCTCGGAGATCCTGCGCTCGGGCAAGCGGCCCGACCTGGTGTCCTACGTGCAGACGCTGTGCAAGGGCCTGTCGCAGCCCACCACCAACCTGGTGGCCGGCTGCCTGCAGCTCAACTCGCGCAACTTCCTCACGGAGCAGGGCGCCGACGGCACGGGCCGCTTCCACGGCTCGGGCGGCCCGTTCGCCATGCACCCCTACCCTTACCCGTGCTCGCGCCTGGCGGGCGCGCAGTGCCAGGCGGCTGGCGGCCTGGGCGGCGGCGCGGCGCACGCCCTGCGGACCCACGGCTACTGCGCCGCCTACGAGACGCTGTATGCCGCGGCGGGCGGCGGCGGCGCGAGCCCGGACTACAACAGCTCGGAGTACGAGGGCCCGCTCAGCCCCCCGCTCTGCCTCAACGGCAACTTCTCGCTCAAGCAGGACTCGTCGCCCGACCACGAGAAGAGCTACCACTACTCTATGCACTACTCGGCGCTGCCCGGCTCGCGGCCCGCCGGCCACGGGCTGGTGTTCGGCTCGTCCGCGGTGCGCGGGGGCGTGCACTCGGAGAATCTCTTGTCTTACGATATGCACCTTCACCACGACCGGGGCCCCATGTACGAGGAGCTCAACGCGTTTTTCCATAACTGAGACCTCGTGCCCGCCCCTTCCTTTTTCTTTGGCCTTTGCCCGCACTGCCCTGGCCCCGGCGTCCCCGCTCCTGGGCGCAGGGGCACCCCCACCTCCGCCAGGCGCCGGCGCGGGCACGGGCCGCAGGTCCCGCTCCTATGATAGGGCAGTGGGGGTCCTATTCTCGGTGGGTGGCCCATCCCAGGGGCCTCGTTTCCTCCCCCAGGGGACTCGCCTTCTCTCTCCCCAAGAGGTTTCCGCCTCTTTGAGGGGAGTACTTCTCCAGGGACCACTCTTTGGGTCCTCCCTTGGAGACCCCTCTCTTCCCGTTCCACTTAGATTTCCTCCTCCCCCACCCACCCTTGCAGGCCCAATGGCAGCGACCGAGGGCGGCTGAGCTGTAGGGGTTGTTTCCCTCCCATTAGTTTTAATTCTGAGGCAGACACCGAGCTGCCCCGGGCGGAAAGAAGCCGGGCGCCCCCTCTTTGTGGAAGAGGGTCGAAGTCGGGGCGCCCAAGCCCGGACCTGGGAGGTCCTTAGCCCCAATCCCTAGTCTCTGCGTTTTGTGATTTCAATTTTGGCGGGAGGGAATGTGGCTCGAGAGGTAAGAGAGAGGCCATGAAAATTTGTAACTAGAATCCGTTTTTTTCCCCTTTTCCTTTTTCTAAAAACAAACAAACTTAAAAAAAAAAAAAACAAGCTAAGAGGCGACGGAGGCCGAACGCAGAGTCCGGATTGGAGAGAAAACGCAGTAAGAACTTTTAGAAGCAATAAAAGGCAAAAAAGTACTACTACCAATAATAATAAAAAGACACAAATATCTATGCAAGGAGGTTCTGACTGAGCCGAGCGGCCCGGCCCGGTCCCGGTCCCGGGAGGCGCCTCCCGGCCGCGGGCCGCGCCGCCCAGCGCCGATCTGTGCACTTTGGTGAAGCGAGGGGCCGCGCCGCCCCTCCCCCTCCCCAGGTTCTTACAATCAGTGACTCGGAGATTTGGGGCCCCAGTGCCACTGCCCTCCCCTCGCCCCGTCCCCGTTGTGCGTCATGCTGTTTTTTTTTTTAAAGAAAAAAAAAGTTTCCAAATTTGTATGGAATGGCAAACTGTTGGGGGGGGGTCGGTTTGGGGAGGGAGGGTTTGCATGAGAGACACGCACACCACAACGCACACACACGCAGGCCCGGCGCGGTCCGGGGACAGAAGGAGGCCAGCTCCTGGGAGGAACTTCCATCCTGGAGGGGTGAGGGTGGACACCTGGGGGCAGCCCCCCACCACTGTGCCTCTGTGGGCGCCGCCGGACCCCTGGTATTTTTGGTGTTGGAGGGGGGGGGTTGTCCCAGCTGCCTCTGGGCTGGCAAGTGGTCAAGGAGAGGATTGAGGGCTGCTCCCGGACTCCCCCCACCTCAATAAAGGGCAAAGGAGACCTCTCCCCACCAGAGGCAGGGACCACACCGCCACACACACCACGCACAGATGCAAACCCACACGCCACACACATGCACCGCAATTGTACCTTCCTCTTGTAACGAAGACGAAACTCCCGTCGGACACCCGAAGTGCATTGCGTGTTTCTGTTCAGTTTAATGACGATTAATAAATATTTATGTAAATGAGATGCAAAGCTGGACCGCTTTCTCACGGTGGCCTCATTTCATTCCGGGATGGAGCCGGGCTGGGGGTGAGGAGGACACGGTCCAGAGACTATGAGCAGACCAGCCAGAAGAACACCCCCTACCCCAACATCCCCAAGGGGGGATTTCCAGCCTGCATGTCCCCTCATACTCACCATACCCCAAGGCAGCTCCGGACACTCACACCCCTGCCCCATGCACACACTCCCCTACTTACACTCCTTTGGTTCCCAACACCAACTCACCTCTGGGAAAACAAAGTCTCTTTCTGTCAGCTGGGAGCAGCAGGTACAACCCTCTGCCCTCTGCTGCCAGATCAGTGTGTGCGCGTGGGAGCCTGATGGGATTTTTTTAAATATATAAAACAAAGTAAAGGAACTTGAAGACGAAATGCTGATGGAGGAAGGCATTTCCATGGACTTGGGAAAAATCAGCCCCGTTTTGCCTGTGGAACATAGACATGTGTAGGGGTGTTGATGAGATTGGAGGAGATGCCCAGGGTTCTATGAAGGGGTGAGTGTGGCACTTGGTGGGGTGGAAACCATCACACCCAATATTTCCTTCCTCTCTGGGACAGCTTGGGAAGAGGGAACCCCAACAGGCTAGGAAGGCAAAGAAAAAAGGTGTCTGGCAGAAGCCTCAACTTCTGCGGAAGTCGCTCCTGCATCTCAGACAATTCTGTCTCCAATTCTGTCTCCAGCATGGGGACAAAGCAGCTCTGCAGCGACTTTCCGGAAAGGGGGTCCTCCTCCCTGAGATTCTTGTGCTGGATGGAGCCCTGGACCCCTGGCATGTCTGCAAAGGGGTCTAAGTGCCAAAGACTTCCCTCACCCCAAACAAAACCGAGCCCAGAAAGCCTGAGCATATTCGGGAATACCAAGCCTGAGTGGTTTCTGATGCTACTTACTGAAATTATTTTTTCCTGGGAACATGTCGCTTTTCAGAGATGAAACAGGGGTTGAAATGCAGGCTTTGGGGTGTGAGGCGGTATGCAAAGACTTTTAAATGTAAAACTCAAGACTCTGATGAGGGCCGCAGTAAGGGATGGAGGGGAAGAAGCCCCACCAGAGGAAGGTTGGCACCACTCCGACTGGCACCCCCAAACCTTCTCCTTCCTGCAGCAAGGAGACCTTCCAGTCCCACAGCACCCCTGGAGCTCTCCACTCCAGGGTGCTGACTGCTGACTCCCGGCAACTGAGCCTCACCACAGTACACAGAGGGGTGGGGGTGAGGGTCCTGCACAGCCTGAGGCCCTACCCAATGCCCCATCATGCCCATCGTAATTCTGGGCAGAATCCCCCTGTGGTTTTCTGATAATTCACTGGAATCCTTTCCAAATTGTTTGGGGGAATTTTCCTAGGCTTGCCTCCCTAGGGTGCGATTAACCAGGCCGTTCAACCCCAGGATTCGCCCGTGTGGGTGGTCTAAGAGGGATTTTCTAGATCTGAGTCACCCCTACTCTTAGGAGAAAGAACTTGAACAACTTTCTCCTTCCCCACTTCACACACTGGGAGCACCCCAGGCCCATTGCTCAGAGCCGGGGCGAGGCTGGGTGGCTGCAGAGCAAAGGAATTGACCCATCCCGGGGCGGGTGGGTGGGCACAAGGTTCACTGGGATTTTCTCTCACCCCACCAGGTTTCCAACACCCTCTCAGTAGCAGTAGTCCCCCTGCGAGAGGCATCTCAAAGCTAGAGGTTCCTCCTTCCCGGCCTCCCTGACACCCACGCTTAGCTTTTCTGACACTTGGCCGCATGGCTTCTGTTTCAGAAGTCAGATTTCAGCCCCTTTTAAAAGACCCTTGGGAAGACAATGGTGCCAGGACCTTTTGGAAGGGGGTAATTGCCAGTGCTTCTGCCTCTTATGATTTCAGGCATCCATAAGACTCACCCCTTGCCCATTCCCTGACCCTTCCCGCATGCCCCCACACTCCAGGGGCACTAACACTTCTCCCCAACACTCAACTTTCCCAGAAAGATGGACAGATGAGCAGAAGAAGGTATGAGGGGACACATGGCCCCAAATTCCCCCTAGCAGCTCTCCTCTCTCTGCTCCCACTCCCCATACACATGCAGAGAAACACTGGGAGCAGAAGGAGATGCATGATGGGGGCAGGGCAGGGGGTAGTAGAGGAGTAAAATAGGGTCAGAATTGAAGGGGGGAGTAGGAAAGTAGCACAGGGCACCTTCCTGCTCCAGCCTGCCCGGTCAGCTCAGCTGCCTCCCTGGCTGCCAAACCCAAGGGCTGGAGTGGTCCATCTGGAGGGTCCTGCCAGTCATCTCCCAGTCCCACTGGCAGCCCTGGGTTTAAAAATGCCAGGGACTGAGGCCTCTGGGGGCTGACCATTTGCCCACTGGGGGAGGGGAAGAAATGCTTGTTTCTTCTCCCCTGTTTAACCCTGCTAGATCCTGGACAGTGAGTCCATGACCCTCAACCAACCTCAGCAGCGAGTGAACCCACAGCTTTCGTTGCATCACCCAGAGAGACAGTCCAATAAGCCACAGAGTACATGCCAGGGTCCTGGAGCCATCCATCCGCAGAGGCCCTGACGCTCAGGGAGTCAGCGGGCATAAATCGCTTCCCTTTTTTTCCCAGTTAGTGGAAAACCCAGGAGCCTGAGTGTGCCAGGATCCCCCATAATTGGCAGAGGGTTCCGCCCACTTAGGCAACCTTCACGTCCTCCTCTCCCTCATATCTTTAGTGGCCGCTCCCCCAGGAATCTAATCTGTTGATTTGAGGAACGCGTCTGTAGGGGAATAATCTCGAATCCATGAGAGGTCTGGAGTTTAGAGCTCAGAGAAGATGGAAAGAAGGAGCTAGCAGGAGCAGGACTGTTATGCCGGCGCCCGGTGGTGATTCCCCATTATACTCCCAGGGGTCAACCTCACCCCTCACGCCTGGAGGGTCCTGTGTGCTCACAGAGAATGAACTCTTAGCCAGGATATGGGAGGGCTGACAGCTCCCACCCTGGCACCTGGTACTGACACAGACCACAGGCCCAGATGGGAAATGGCCCCGAGAAAGCTCTTCCATTTCAGCACCAGTCTCTGTCCTTCAGTTACAAAATCTGGGCAACAAGGGCGGGGGCAACAGGAATGGCCCAAAGGACTGGTGCAGAGCACCACAAGCCCTCCTGGACACGGCTAGGGGTGGCCCTGGTGGGCCCCAGCACAGTTGAGGAGGTTTCTGCCCCTCCCCCAAATTTTTGGACAAAGTTTTCTGGGTGAGCAAGGGCACAACCATCTCGGGAGAACTGGACCACACTCTGAAGTGTTCTCCAGATTATAGCACTGGGGAGGGTCCCTGTGTGTTCCTGGCCTCCCTCTTCACCAGAATAGTCAGGAGAAAACGGAAATCTAAGGCTGATCTCTGGGGTTGAAGGGTAGTGGATTTCTGAGGTGGGCAAGATGTCAGAGACCCCCTAGGATGGGGAAGGGAAGCTGGGGGAGAAAAGGGACAACAGAAGGAAACCTCCAGATGTGAGCCATGCCAAGGCAGCGGGCACGCA